CCGGTCGACGGGACATCTCTGAATTCGATCTGGTGTCGGCTCTGGATAGCGGCTAGTGTGGTAAAACAGGTGCATTTAAAAACCAAAAGTTCCTAAAGTCGTAAAAAAATCGTACCTGGGATGACCTGTCCCTCACCGCCACCTCGTCCACCCGAACCACCGCGGCCACTGCCGCCGCCATATCCGCCTCCTGAGGATCGGGACATTCCTCCGCCATATCCGCCACCCGAGGATCGACCACCACCACCGCCATAGGCAGCGGCCACGGCAATCAGGGCTGAGATGATGAGGAACTGATGAACATCATCGAAAGCAAAGTTAGCCAAGCTCGTTCAAGTCACTGCACAACTGGTCTTGTCTTTGCATCTTCACATCGGTTACTTACTTTCATTTTGTGTTTGGAGTTGCTGAAGTTGTTGAGTCGAAGACAAAAACTGAAGAAAACTGTGGCAGTTGTTGATGATCTGATGAGTGATAATGTTCAGATGCGGGGGCTTATATACCTCATGGATAGTGTCTCTGTTTCCAGCAGCAGCACCACCACCACCACCACCACCACCACTTGCTCTTGGCATTCACTTGCGTAGCTCATCTCTCGTGGTCTTTCTTTCCTTCAACTGTTGTCTCCTCTTCTGTCTCTTCTTCTCTCAGTCCATCCTCCCTGCCCCCGATGGAGACACGATGGCTAACCTATTAGACGGCGGCGGCAGTGGCGACGATGTTGCAATGAATGGTATAAATGAAAATGCATACACATCGTCTACGGTCATGTAGCACAGACGCACGCTATTGACCACGTCCATAAATTATGGTAGTGCTGATGGTAGTGGTGCTGGCAGTGGCGGCGGCTGTCTCATTAAGCCGCCGTCGTTGTTCAAAGCAACGGAAAAATCGGGAATTCGATACACTTCATTGTTTTACACCTGCATCGGTTTATTGTGTGTGTGTGTGTGCAACATCTCACTTTAAAGGATTCCATCTGATCTAACCAGCAGTGAATCCTTTAAAGTGCGTTTACTACAGCTTTCGCCTACTTTTGATGATCAGTAGGCCTTCTGTAGAACAGTGATCCTTTTTCATCCCGTTTTCCCCCGTCTTCATTAATCACTAGCCGCCCTCTTCCTCAGCAACGATGCGCACGACAACGCTCATCCTCTCTCATCAGTGGGTGAGATCACTAATTAATACGTTTGCCTTTTTCTGCTTCATTCACTCACTAACTCATTCATTCGTTCATCTATTACTGTTTTGTTCTTCACCTTTCACATTTCACTTTCATTGGAAAATGCAAATTGATGGGCTCTCTCCTCAGCACGCACCAAACACGGTGCCCAATGGGCAATAATCACCTGTGCAGCAAGAGCGGCGGTCTGGCCAGTGAGGATTAATTGCCCTTTTTGTCGTAGTCTCAGCAGTAGTTGAGAAAGTGCAAGGTTGATGCCTCAACGCTCATTCCTTTTTTGCTCTTACTTCGCCTCTTTTTCTCTCTGTTTTAGTGTGTATGTGAATGATGTAACCAATCTCCCCTTTTCTGAACGTGGACAGACTTTCGGAACCGAGAAAACACTCCACAAGCTGCTCAGCTCAGCTGCTGTTGCGCATCTCTAATTTCGCAGCATGCAGACAATAAATCAGATGTGATGGCCAAAGGTAGAGTTGTCTCTGTCTGTTGTGGCAACTTAGGCTGGGGTGACTAAACAGACACAGAAAACACAGCAGAAAAACAACTGTGAGAAAACAAGAGAGATTAAGAACAAACAGGCAGACATTAACTGACAGTGACAGTGGCTCTCCAGATAGAGAGAAAGCGCTTTTGTGTTCTCAGAGACCTTCAGGGTGCTTCTTATCGGGTTTCATTAATCTTTAGGGTGTGACGCAAGGTGTTTAGTGAGCCTTTTTAATGATGCTTTTTCATTGTCTTCATCAGCTGCAGTTTGAATTTCCCGCCAAGTGGCGTCAGGGCCAGGGGGCGCTCTCTATGAATGCGATTTTATTTTTCAGTCTTAGAAAGCATTTATCAAGTCGAGCGTGTTTACCAATTCCAGCTTCCTTCGACTTCTATTTGATTCTTTTACTGGTTTAACTTTGTATCCTTCGAAGTCGTCATGCCCTTTCAAGTTGGTCAAGTGGTCTGGGCCAAAGTAAAAGGTCACCAAAATTGGCCAGCACGAATCATCACGTTGGAAGAATATTCACAAGTGGCAGTTCTTTCCCGGTCCAGAGCTTCTCAAAACAAAAAAGTGCCTGTTAAGTTTTTTGGAAGAGAGATATACGGTCTTGTATCTTCAGATGCACTTCAAGAGTATGCCGAAACTCGTTCAAAAGTTAAAAAAGTATCAGCAAGCTTAATGAAAGCACTTCAAGAAGCAGATGAAGCCATCGCACAGGAACAGGATAAACCAACTTTAGATTTGCCCTCAAATATGGAATTGTCGGAAGATGCTCAGTCAACGATTTGCACAACAACCACTAGCAATTCAGGCGAGGAAAAAGTATATGGAATACTCGGCTTGGGACTAATCAGCCAGCTGATACTAAAGCAAATACTCACCAATGGCTACCGCTGCATTGTCTGGGACATCGAACTGCTTCAAGGCAACATTAAACTTTCTGACGAACGTATCAGCATCGCAAAAACTCCAGGAGAAGTTATTCGCAATTCACGCATTATTTTCAGCTTTGTTGATTTTGATGTGAAAATGATGATTTACGGAAATGATGGCGTTCTAACATCAATCGACTCTACTAAAGGATACGTGGAGATGAGTCATATAGACCATCTTTCCTCAAAAGAAATCAGTGCAAGCATCGAAGGCAAAGGTGAGATCACTTTCTACTTCCCCACACTAATTAATACGTTCGCCTTTTCTACTTCATCTTTATACTGTTAAGGTGCTCGATACATCGAAGCTGGGACTATTTATTTCCCAGGGATTTTAGAAAAGGCTCAAGGCATCACCATTATGGCTGGAAATCGATCGCTTTTCGATGAATGCTCTCCTTTATTTGACTCAACTAGTAGCAAGATCTTCTATTTAGGTCCTGTTGTTGGGCTGGCAACTCTGGAAAAGACGTTCATCTCATCACTTTGCAATATTATGACTTCTGCGATGGGTGAATCGTTTCGCATTGTGCGTCAAGCCAACTTGAACGTTGAGACTTTCACGGAAATAGCCCAAATATGCTTGAATCATCAAATGGAAAGATCATTTGAATTGCTTTTGAATCAACAAGAAATTCCTTTGCAGAAGATGATTAAGGAACAACAGTACATGCAAAGGGAAGCTTCTAATTATTTAGTCTCTCTGCCCATTACTGCGATCGCCACCCAATCTTTACTTGCAATGTCAGACCAGAAGAATGTGGAGTACAACCGCAAAGACTAGAATTGTCGATTTGTGGTGGAAAACTAGCTAATTGTAGCCAATATATTGCAGCCACAGTTGTAGACCTAAAATAGTCACGATTCTAGTTAACACTTTTATTCTAAGAACTTTGATCAAATTACCCTTTTATATATCAACATTAATCTCTTCCTGAAACACATAGTCTAGCGACACGTTAATCACCTTTATTTGATTCTCTTGTAAAGCTTCATTATTTCATATTTGCACTTGAATAAACTTTTGCACTTGCGTGTGAAAACATCGCCTGATAACACATCGCCAACCAGCAAGGATGAATGGTAATCGAGGTAACCGAGGCAGTTCATTTCGTCGACAGGCACCGCCTCGACGAGGCGGACACTCTCGAGCCGGTGCTGGTGGACCACGCAACAACACTGGTGGACGTCGTCCATTTCGTTCAGCGCTAAAGAACAGCAAACCTCGTTGGAGCATCCCACCACCACCTCCGCCACCACCGCCGCCGCCGCCTCCACCGCCCTCTCTTCCCTCACCTTCCCCATCCCTGCCACCTGCAGCTACTCGTCCAGCTGCTCGTGTGCCAGTGCAGAGCAACGCTAGGCCCCCGGTGCAGGCAGCCAGCAAGCAGGCGAGTGGCAAGCAAGAGCCGGAGATCGTCAACGTGCCTGAAGCGGCCAAGTTTTTCAGCCTTGCCGCCACCACTCGTGCTACCATCCTCGTGAATCTCAATCTGAACTCGCTCATTGAGTACATTGACCACTTGGAGGGCTACCGCAAGGCAAACATGGAGAAGGTGGCCACCTTGCAAAAGCAGTGCCAGGGTTTGTTGACTGGCGCCAAGATACTGGCCAACAATCCTGACCAGGAGAAGCATCATCTGCTGCTGCTGCAGCAGAATGGGCATCGAGTGGCTGAACTGCTTGAGGGCGTTGAGGAGAAACTGGAGGCATTTCAGCTGAAGCGAATGCTCGCTAAAGGTATCGATGGGGTGCACTTGTCGGTGGCTGAACAGCAGCAGGTAAACCCGATCACAACTGGCTCGCAGATTAGCCAGAAGGTGAATCAGCTCAAGGACAAAAAGAAAAGTGATCTACCAAAGTTGCCGCCGATCTTTGAAGAAATCAAAGTGGAAGACTTTTCTGGCAACAGCAGCTTTGAGGAGTTCTCAATGCTACCGAGTGGTAACCAAGGGTTATCAGACGATGGAGAGGACGATGACCATGAAGAAGATGAAATGCAGATCAAGCTTGACAACTCTCTGGTGGTGGTGGCATCTGCTGAAGAGCAAAGTGCCTCTGATGACAGTGCCACTTTGAAGCAACTCGAAGAGACCGTGGAGAAGGTTTCGCAAAGCCTTGCCAATGAAGCTGCCGCTTCTCTCCAGGCCAGCTCTGAAGTGACCGACTCGCCACAGTCGCTCAAAGCAACTCTTTCCATAAACGGGCACCAGTTGCCGGTTCCAGGTGACTTCAACCGCCTTTCACCAGTGGAACAGAACCTCCTTCTTGCGGAACTACCCGAGGCAGTCCGTGCCAGTTATCTCAATCTCAGCTGGACCGATCGCTTCTACGAGCACCTGGCCAGTATGCCGATCGCAGTCAAGCAGCAGTTGTTGCGTTCGCTGAAGAAGTAAGCCTCGTTCTCTTCAACGGCTCTTCTTTCAGCATCTAAATTCGCAAATTAAACTTTTTATTTTATGATTAATTTTTTTTAAAACAGGAAACCAACGATTACAGGAGTTTCCTGAAAATAAATCCTTGAAGTTTTCGCATTTTCTGCTTATTTGAAGCGCGTTTTGTGGATATAGCCAGTCAAAAAATAGCTGCTCGCAGAATCTTGACGACATTCCGGCGTTTCGTCATTGTCAAAAATGGCCGAAGAATCCTTCAAAGACCGCTTTCACTGCTTAATTACCTGTAGTATTTGCTCAGAGTACACGGTCAAACCGACAAAGTTAATCGAATGTTTTCACACGTGTAAGTTATTGTTTGAAAACATTGCAAAACATTTCGTTTTCACGTTCTTTTTCCCTCTAGTCTGCTTCGTCTGCATTGAAAAACATCTGGAGAAGCAACGCACCTGTCCGGAGTGCGTCCCGAAAGTGTATGACAGAGATATCGATCGTCCTAGTTTACATAGATCAATGGTAGTCGATACGGCTTTGGAAGAAATTATCAATGCTCTTTTACCAGAGGAAGCAGCGCTGTGCAATTTCGATGATTGGTGTACTAAACATGACTTCACGCCACCGGTTCGCCGCATAGCTCATCTTACCAGTGAAGACAGATCACAGCGTTGCCCCAAACCAGATGACTGGTTAAGCATTTATCTAAACTGCCCGGAAAATATCAAACTTGAAGATCCTTGTGTCTTGGTTCTTTCCAACTCGACTATCCGTGATTTGAAGAAAGCCATAGCAAAGAAGCTTTTCAGTGACGAGTTTATGCACAAAAAGGTAAAGTAGTGAAAAATTTCTACAAAATAAGTAAACTTAAATAATGACTTTTGCTTACAGATCATCCTCTCTGCTAAAGGAAGGAAGCTTGAAGATAATCTTACAATGTTAGTCATTTTCATTCACCTTTTCGAATACCAGGTATAGTTTTACTGCTTTCATTTTTTTATAATTTCAAACCCTCTTTTTCATTCCATCAGGAGGTTCCGATGCCTTTTGAGTTGAACATTGAAACACGAGAAAANATAATTTCAAACCCTCTTTTTCATTTCATCAGGCGGTTCCGATGCCTTTTGAGTTGAACATTGAAACATGAGAAAAACTTTTATGTTGAGTCATTCTAACCAACAATGTTAGCTGTACAGAGTGAAATTCACACGAGTAAAAAACAGACATTGATGAGGCGTCATTGACTGCAGACAAGTTTTTTTTTGTTCAATGTACGTTTAGATAATGTAAAGCACTTGAGAAGAGAAAGTGCAAAGAGCTTACAGTAGTTTTCTCAGTCCGTTTATCAGTTGCTAACGCGACGGCCGCTGCGGTAGAACGCGCGGTGCAGCGTGGCTGCCAGCTTTGGAAAACTCAAGTCGGCGAGGACATCTTTGACATCCCCCTCATCNAAGCCCCTTTTGTTATCATTGCAACTGCAACCAAATCTGTCCAGTGTCATATCAGTGAGTGACAGAGCAACCATAAAAGCAGTGTCTTTGTAGTGTCAAATTAGCTACTTCTGCTACGGCAGCAATATTTCTGTCGTGTTGTTTTCTTTCCACTAAACAAATGAAGGCTTCTCAAGTTTTTGCCTGCCTTCTGCTCGTCCCAGCACTGCTGCTGGCCGTGCTCTTCATCCGCTCTGAGCTGTACTTTCCCAGGGAGGCCGTGGATGACGTCTGCAATGTGACGCATGCCTCAATTTCCGGCGACCATATTGTCCAGCGGTTCTCCAAGGCGCTCACCATTCAGACGATCACCAGAGGGACGCAGGACTACGACGGAGAGCCCAGGCTGGAGTTTGCCCGCTTTTTGGCCAAAAGTAAGCACCAGCACTTGGTGTGGTTATTTCCCCTTCATGCATAATCATTGGTCTTTTCATTTCTCACCAGGCTTTCCCACCATCTACTCCTCACCAGTTGTCACTGTGGAGACAGTGAACAATTACTCTCTGCTGTATGGCATCAAAGGCAGCGATTCAACTCTAAAGCCGTACCTGCTGTGCTCACACCTGGACGTGGTGCCAGTGGAGGCAGACAAGTGGGAGGTGAAGCCATTTTCGGGGTCAATCAAGGATGGATTCATCTATGGTAGAGGCAGTATCGATGTAAAGAACACTCTCATGGTAGGTTTTTTCTGTGTTGCAGTTGTACTTGATAAAGAGCATTGATTATTTGCAGGCAATCATGGAGTCACTGGAGTACCTACTGAAGGGTGGCTTCAAGCCGAAGCGATCTTTTTACATTGCTTTCGGCCATGATGAGGAAGGCCAAGGGATCGACGGGGCGCAGGAGATTGCCAAGGTCTTCAAGGCTAGAGGAGTGACCTTTGAGTATCTTCTCGACGAGGGAATGATGATTTTTAAAGACCAGTTTTATGGCGTCAAGGACGACGTGGCCGTTGTTGGCGTCTCCGAGAAGGGATTTCTCACGGTGAAGGTCAAGGCCACTGGCACAGTGGGACACAGCTCAATGCCCGAGACGAACACGGCCATTACGAGGCTAGCACGGGCAGTGGCCAAGCTGACCGGGGACGCCCATCCCAATCTTTTTGGCCTTGGTCCAGAGCGGACCATGATCGAGTCCTTTGCCCGACACGCCTCCTACCCCGCTAAGCTGGTGTACAGCAACCTTTGGCTCTTCAGCCCCATCCTCTCGCGAGTCTTTGCCAGTCGACCCTCGACGAACGCCCTCGTGCGCACCACTAGCGCCGTCACGATCATCAACGGCGGCGTTAAAGACAACATACTGCCGAGCGGAGCCGAGGCGGTGGTCAATCACCGCATTCACCCCATGCAGTCAGTGCGAGAGGTGTTCGCATACGATATGGCTCTCATCGGCGACGAGCAGGTGCAGGTGGAGGTGAAGGGTGACTCCAATGAGCCACACCCTCTATCGCCCTACGATTCAGATGCCTTTGGCTATCAGACGATCTCTCGATCACTTCGACAAGTCTTCGCTGATACTATCGTCATTCCCGGAGTTCTGGTGGCTACCACCGACACTAGGTGGTACCTGCCCATTACCAAGGCCGTCTATCGATTTTCACCTTCGGTTTTAACTGAAAAGGACATGGGCCGATTTCACGGCAACAATGAACGTATCTCCGTCGATAATTACATGAAAACGGTGAACTTTTATCATCACATAATGCTCAACTCAGACCACAGTGAACTGGCTGGTGGTAGGCCGACGAAGGATGAACTGTAAAGATTTTTTTATTTTGATTTGAGGAAATCTCAAAAATAATCCATTTTTATGTAACTATTTTCAATTTTGAGCATTAGCCTAAAACCAAATGTACGATTTTATTCCCACGCACTTTCAGTGATTTTATTTGAAATGCTTAAAAACTCGCTCCACCCAAAGTTAATGTTGGTGAGATGTCCTTTTGTAGAGATGTGCTGCCATTGTTTTGTTTTGAAGTCAGCTGCACACGTGACTTGCTCTTGCACCATGTGGTGAATCCTGTTTTCAGGTTGAGTGGAATCTTCAAAAGATCAATTTTGTTGTCAATTATTCTGCTCCAAGTAATTGATGAATCGTCTCTTCAATTCAACCGTCGCCGCTTCCAAATGGGGACTCCAGGTGAGCGCTGGTGTCCTGCGAGGATACAGTGCTGTCAGAGCAAGCTCATCCGCTGCAGCAAAATCCTCTTCACAATTTGATGACTCCCAAAAGTCGCCGTTCAGTAATGATGATAATCAAAACAAACAGAGACCATATCAAAATCTGTTTCCCTGGAAGGATGAATTGCAGCTGGCCAAGTTGCTTATCGCCAACATTGTCTTTGTCGATCGAGGTCTGATTGCCATCAATAAGCCTTATGGCCTGGGAATGCACGTTGCCGAACGTCAAATACCTGCCGTCGATAGAAACCGGATGGAACGAGCGGCACACCAAGAAATGTTGAGCTCAGAAATTATTGGCAGCCCTCGGTACTGCCTTGCCGAGGTGCTCGACTATATGGCACAGCTTCTAAACGTCGGACAGCTCAGTATTGTCAAGTGTAAGTGAAGTGAACGTTCTTTTTATGCAGACAAAATTGATCTTTACTTTTTACCCTTTGATTCCTTTGAATGTAGCCGCTCACCGGGACTGGTCAGGCGTAGTGCTGCTTTCCACTGGGCCCAGGTCTGATGAGGTGACCCGACTGATTGAGAAAGCCGCTCGTCGAGCAAGGTCCGCATCGACGCCGCATATGCGCTTTTACGCCATCACCAGTGGCATCATCACCTCGGGCGTCAACGGATCAGGCGCTGAACACTGTGGCCTGCGACTGCTTGAGCTGGACGACCAGGGCATCTACAAAGAGCCGGTGTACGTGCCACCCGAGAAGATGAGCAAAAATCTGCGCAAGGCCAGTCTTAATCATCGACACAAGAACTCCGTGAAGCCGTTCACAGTTCACTACCGAACGGTGGCCACCAATCGACAGTTGGCGGTTTCGCTGGTTGAGCTGTCCACCTGTGCCACGAAGTGGTCATTTGTGCAGTGCTTCCTCGCCTACAAGGCGGCCTTTGTTCTCGGTGATCTCTTCTTCTCTCGTCGGGTGAAGCACCTGCTCGGTCAGCCGGTGGTAATAACGCCCAAGAAGCAGCTGCCGGCAGCAGAGCTTCGTGCCCAGCTGGACCACTACTACTCGGGCGGAGGCATGGAGCCCCTCTCTCGAAAGCTTCAACAAGCTCTCGGCGTCCGACGGAACGCCCAGGTGCCCTTGATGATTCACTGTGCAGGACTAACCTTGCCCGGACTGAGAAAGTCCTTGTTGTCCACAAAGATGGAAAATGTGGTTTTGCCAAAAGAGGAAAATGACGACACCTTGGAAAGGCCGGCAAATGAAAAGGACATTATCATCACAGCCGATAAGTGGCATCAGCTGCCAGACCACTTTCGATATACCCTTGAGCGTTTGGAGTTGAATCTAAATGACCCCAATAGAAGCACAACCTAGTAGTTTTTCAATGTAAATGTAATTTAAGTAGTCTTGTTGACAATAATAAAAAACTTGACCGAACACAGATTTTTCAGTTTAAACATGACACATGATCAGAGGTCGTTTGATGACTGTGATGAACGTGAAGCTCAGTTGGGTTGCACGTGGGCTCTGAAGAAGGGCCAACTCATCGGTGACACTTGGCCGCTTTGCTGCTGTTATTATATGCATGATGAAGTGAGTATTACTCACTGGGTATTCATAATTTAAACTGTCGTCCATCTGATTACAAGTTGACATTTTAGTGGCTGCAAGGCTTGCCATGCTTACACCGCTTGCCCTATAAAGTCTGGCGAAAATTCCTCTCACATCAGTCTCTCTCTCCATCAGTGTTCACGCTGCCATCACCACCACCTCCCCCACTGTTTTTACCACCACACTCTGCCCTATTCCTGCTTCCCCTCATCCGCCAACTACTACTATTCACCATCATGGAGAAGATGTCCTACGACTCGACCTACGATTCGACCTGGTCCTCGCCCAACTCCTCTAACGAAACCTCAAACAGTCTCGAAGCGGTCGACTCATCTCCCTGGCCGAAGGTGCTCATTCCCGCGCAGGCGATGCCATCGTCGTTTTCACTCGGACATTCTAAGACCATCCTCTCTGACTCTGACACCTCATCTCGGAGTAGCAGCCAGCGTGAAACTGCCGCCGAACTGTTTGGCTTCAAACCAAACTACTACCCGCACTTTGACCCGAAGGAGTACTTCTGCGACACCGTCGCCGTGGAGAACGCCTCCATGGTGGCGCAGATTGTGGGGAAGAAGGGCGCCAAGATCAAGCACCTGGTCGCCAAGTTCGGCACTCGCATTCGCACCCCCAACGTCGACCAGGAGCCCGTCTTTGTGATCAAGGGCAAACGCGCCGATGTGTACAAGGTGAAACAGGAGATCATGAGCGCTGCTGCGCACTTTATGCGCATTGAATTAACTAAACGGGAAAAGCTCGATTCAGTTATGAACTCTGAGGGTAAGTATAGTTCTTGGTCTTGTCTGTTGTCACTCTTCTCTAATGTCCTGCTGTCACTACCTTTCTCATTCAGAATCGACCTCTATCAAGCTCTTCGTTCCCACTCGCTACGTTGGCCTCGTCATCGGCCGCAACGGCCGCATCGTCCGGGAACTGCAAACCGCTCATCAGGTGTTCATTGAGACTCCGAAGTTTGATCTTCGCCACTACTTCTGCATCTACGGAACCGAGTTGGCTATTCACAGTGCAATCAAAGCCATCTACGAATTGCTGGTGAAACGAAGTGGCATTTGCTTCTCCCAATCTCAGAACCAGGTCGGCAACGAGGTTCACTTTGTTGAATGAATTCTAATCAAGTCAAACAGATTTTTGTAAACAAATCAAACAGCTGATTTGTAAAACACTTTTTAAATTAATCCACAATAAATCCTTCAATCATCAAGAACCAAATCATCAAGCATTTCCTGAAGGGTAACTTGAGGCACCTCCTCGCCGTCGGCAAAGTCGTCCTCATCCACGGCCATCTCATTTGCCGCCTTTCGACTGTCTTTGTAGATGTTCACATTGGCGCGAAGCAGCGGATCCTCTTCGAGGTCCTCCATAAAGTCATAGTAGTCCCGACCGTCCGCTGAAGTTGCGCTGCCGTCTTCAGCCATTCGTAGTCGTCGAAGCTTCCATCGACGGCGGCGGTTACGCGTCGCCTTGTCGCCATAAAACTTCTTCACGAGAATCACATCAGGAAACTTGCCAGCATTTGCCTGCTCAAACTTCTCAAAGTGCTCCTCGTTAAGGTTAGCCGACCGAATGTCAAAGCCTAGAGCCAGGTCGCCAGGATTAAGCAGATGGGCGAGCTGAGTACGAGTGTGCGTCGGGGCGGTGGAGCCGATTTCACTGGACTTGACAACGTACGCATCACCGAGAATATGCTGCGGAAAGTGAAAGGCCAAGTTTTTGAGATGATAACAAAAATCAGTCAGCTAACCTTGTGTGACAAATTCGAGCCAGCGGCNTGCATCACCGAGAATATGCTGCCGAAAGTGAAAGGCTAAGTTTTTTAAATAATAACAAAAATCAGTCAGCTAACCTTGTGTGACAAATTCGAGCCAGCGGCCGTATTGCTGGCCGGTGTACCGTGAATTGGCTCCAAGTCCATTACCGTGTACTCTGTCAGCTGTGGTGCTGTGCAAATCGCCCGAAACGGAGCGCGGAAGTAGTTTGGGGCGGTCAGTTCGGCGGCTAAAGGGAGAAGGAGTTCAAGTTATCACTTGTACACAAAAAACCCGTCAAAGACTTACTTCTCAACGTAAACGGGTCAATGAGTAGAATTTGCTGAGTGACGCGCAGGACAACGCACAGTTGGCCAATGTTGCCGAGGGCCCTGGCTGTTTGCACCGGCAGACAGACGACGTCGTCCTTGCAGATGGGCACTATCTCCACGGCGTAGGTGTACTTGTAGTTGTATGTGTTGCTGTGCGTGTCATGGCTGATCAACTGTTGGGCAGTTACGTAACGACAGGGCACCACCGTCTGCAGAAACTCAACAAATTTCCTAGCGTCGTCCTTGCGACTGTAGAAGAAGTCAATACCTTCGTGGATCTGCTTTACATTGACGCACTTTTCGTGGGCTTTGTACTTCAGCAGCAGCTGTTCGAGGTAAAAGAAGGTCTTCTTGTGAGACGACTTTTGGCGCACCTGTACCACGGCCTTCCAGAAGTCCTTGGCCTCTCGCCGGTGGCAATCGTCGCACATCATCGTGTTGACGACAAACTCAACGACAAAGACCTGCTGAAGAATGGCGCCTCCGTTGACCTCCTTCTGAATCGTCAACTTCACCTTGATCCGCCGAGAGTGGGGCTCTGTCCAGACGAAAGTGGCATCAATGAGGTTGACGCGATTGAGACCCTTCAGTTTTTTCAAACACAACGCCAGCAGTTCTCGGGACTCCAACTCGGCTATCACCCACTGGCCGATTGCTTGCTGATATCTGAAGAAGGACAAGTGTCACAACACTAAAACAAATCACCCAAATAATCGAGCAACTAACCGTTCACATCCTTTGCAGAAGTAAATGACCACCTGCTTTGGAATGGAGTCAGTGATGTCTACTTTTGATCGAAGGCAGCCAATGCACAGATTTGCCGGATTTGGATCAATTAGTGTGCCACAGTCGCAGCAAAGACTAAAAATGGGAAAAAATGATTCAATTAACAATGTAACAAATCTTAAACCGCAACTTACATCTTTGATGGCGTCTCTGAGGCTGCCGCCTGCTCTTCACTCAGGTACTCCATGGTTTACCAGAAGTCTGATTTAAGATAATTAGCCAACACAATCAGGATAAAAAAAACAAAAAAAATACAAGGGAACGATGCAAATACGCAAAAACACGTGGAAAGAAAAACGTCGTTTACTGATTTGCTTGCCAAGTCGGTGGGAGCTGCTGCCCACTTCATATTCTGCCTAACCAGTTTCCCACACTGCAACGTCGTCTCTTGATGAGCGCCCCTAAATTCAANGAACGTCGTTTACTGATTTGCTTACCAAGTCGGTGGGAGCTGCTGCCCACTTCATATTCTGCCTAACCACAGTTTCCCACACTGCAACGTCGTCTCTTGATGAGCGCCCCTGAATTCAAAAATTTTCATATTTTCTGCTTTATGAAAATTGATTAAATGATTTTAAAATTGACAGTTTTGAAGCAAAGTGAAACTCAATAAGGAAAAATTATTTTGGTGTTTACCAAAATCACAGTAATCTTTATTCTAAAAATGCTGCCAGAAAAGAGATTCTTGTTTAGAGTATTGAATCGTCGGAACAGTTTTGAGTATCACTAGAATCTTGGTGCTCATCAGACACAAGATTGTGTAATGTCGGCGATTTAGTGTTTCTTTGTTCCAAAAGCTCGACTGAAAAACTGCTTGGCTTGAACTTTTTTGAAGCGTGTTCATTTTCTGTTTCAGTACCTTCGCTTTCAACTTCTGCAACTTCCTCGTCATTTTTTCTTTTAGAGAACTTGCTTATCTGCTCTTGCATCCAGTCAAAGAAAAGCTGCCCATCATTTGTGGTTTTTCTTTTTTTTAAATTATCAACATTTTCAGGTAATCGTAATAAAGGTCCATCATTTTTAGCAGATGATTTTAGAGCATCAGATATTTTTCTCTTTTTACTGGGAAACTCATTTAGCTCTGTTTGTGCATCATCCTCCTCGAAAGGAATGCCCAGTTNTCATCATTTTTAGCAGATGATTTTAGAGCATCAGATATTTTTCTCTTTTTACTGGGAACCTCATTTAGCTCTGTTTGTGCATCATCCTCCTCGAAAGGAATGCCCAGTTCAGACTCTGGAACGCTCAAAACCTTGGACAATTGTTCAGTTTTTATCAGCAAAACGATATCCTAAAAAGAAACCATGAAAATTGAAATTACTTTTACAAAAAACACTTTTTTTACCTGAACAGCTTTTGTATAGTTTTCCCTCTCTTGAATCGACAGATAGGCAAAACAGCTCGGAAAATTGTGCTGGCAGGGATCGCCGATTCCGACACCTATTTTGGGAAAGAGCAATCCGGAAGCCAACACCTCAAAGAAATACCGTATCACTGGCACCACCGCCTGCCAAAAATCATGCGTATTGCAGACGAGAACAATGACCAGCTCAATACACTGCGCAAAAGAAAGGTATTTAGGACTTTCACCGATACAAAACAAACCATTACTCTACTTACAAATTCAGGAATATTTTTCAGCGCACTGTTTGCCTTGCAAATAGAGCGAAGAATACGAACGGTGTACTGAAAAAACGGAAAAACGATACATTCCATTTCTGGGCACATGACCTTTTCCTAGTAAGACAAAATCAGTTTAGAAATATTGAAGGCAAAATGGGAAGAAATTGTTCTCACTTTGAACCAACGAACTCGACGAACTTCACAGAGAGCATCTAAACATTGCTCGCGATCGAGCAAATCACGGACGCCTAAAAACGAAAAGTAAATTACGTTAACACAGTCAGATCATTAACACCCTCACTCAGCTTACTGTTAACCAGAGGTGGGTGACAATTGCGAATAAAGCCTGCGGTAAAGGTGGCCCTGATGGACATTTGAAACTGCTCCTCACTCGAGAGGGACTTGGCCACAAGCACAAAAGCAGCCTTCTCAGACTGCTCCTTCGCCAGTTCAAAGGTAAACTTTGATTGTACTGAGTTGAGGTAGGCAGCCAGAACCGTCTCGTAGATGGTCTTCAGTTGGCTGGTGGGGAAAAAGTTGCAGTAGAGCACTACATCGACGAGGTCATCATCCGCCAGGAGGAAGCCCTTGCCGAGAGATCGCACGCGAACAANGCAAATCACGGACGCCTAAAAACGAAAAGTAAATTACGTTAACACAGTCAGATCATTAACACCCTCACTCAGCTTACTGTTAACCAGAGGTGGGTGACAATTGCGAATAAAGCCTGCGGTAAAGGTGGCCCTGATGGACATCTGAAACTGCTCCTCACTCGAGAGGGACTTGGCCACAAGCACAAAAGCAGCCTTCTCAGACTGCTCCTTCGCCAGTTCAAAGGTAAACTTTGATTGTACTGAGTTGAGGTAGGCAGCCAGAACCGTCTCGTAGATGGTCTTCAGTTGGCTGGTGGGGAAAAAGTTGCAGTAGAGCACTACATCGACGAGGTCATCATCCGCCAGGAGGAAGCCCTTGCCGAGAGATCGCACGCGAACAAACTTCATCACATTGGAGCGCAACATTGGCGGCGGCAGTGGTTTTTCCTGCGACTGCTGAAGCTGCTTCTTCTCGTACTGACTAAGGCAGTCTATAAACTCATTGGAATCGACCATCTGTTGAAACTTCTCCAAGTCAATCGACTGACTCTTCTCTGCCCGCTCCTCATCCAGGTCACCCTGTGTCAGGCCCATAAAGGCAGAGTTGATGACCTCGGCGACGCTCAGACAGGCGACCTCCACCATGCAGACAGCCTCGTGGAGGCTGGCCATCATCTGCCTGGGCGCAGCGATGGCGTTGTAGCGGTAGTGGACTAGCCAGTCGGAGACAGTCCGACTGAAGGAGTCATTCGCCGTGAGCTGCGTCTTCAAGGTCTGCAGGTCCTCCTGGAGGTCTTCAATGTGCCACTCAAAGAACTGCGCCCAGTTAACGTCAAACAGGTTCACATCCTGTGAGTAGAGGGCATTGTCGATGTTGTTCTCGGCACGAGCCTCCCACTGCCTCATCTGCTCCACCAGCTTCCGATCACTCTTCACCTCCATGACGATCAGTGCCGGGTCAATCTTCTTCTTGTAGGTGATGCGGTGCTTTCGGCCAATCAGGTGCGAGTCCTTGGCGTTGGCGTCGTTGAAGCGCACCTCACAGAGGGTGCACATGTAGCACACCGTCTTGCCGCTCTCATTGAGCACCTCCTCAATAAAATCGACGCCGATGGGCTTCTGAAAAGCGTCCATATCATCGAGCTTCTCGGCGGCCTTCGAAGGTCCCGGACCGGGCCTGTTTGCCTGCTCTTCAGCCCACTTGTCAGGGTCTGCGTATAGAATAATTGTTTGGAGATTACATCAGATTACTTTTTGATAAACAGTACACTTACCCATTTTCATCTTCGATTCAAAGAGGGTAATCTCCTCGATCACCGCTTCTCTCAGCTGCGGAACGACATTAGTGTTGACAAACTCTGGAACGATGCTCAACGCCGGAAGGTCTTTTTCTTCGCGCAACTGTACCTCCCGCTTGTGCTTAACGCCCTTAATGTGAGAGTAGTAGGCGTTCACACTGACGGTGAAAATGCGACAGACTGGACAGAGGAGAATACACTGCGATTTGCTCGTAACCAGCCGCTGAATGTTGACCTTTTCCAATCCATTCAACTTTGGTCCTTTCTCACTGCCTGTCTTCTTATCGTACATTATCGATTTCCACCGAGAAATGTGCCGCTTGCCGGAAAGGTGAGTCTGGTAGGCCTCGGGGTTGGGACACTGCTGCTGGCAAATTTCACAATGCCATTGTTTGAGAACCGCCTTTCTTTCTTCAGATAACTGTTGCGGGTTATTTTTAGACGATTGATCTTTATGATGATTACTTTTCTTATCTATCAAAGGCTTAAATTGAGGAAAAGCTTTTGGAGAAGAAGAGGCAATTGGTGGTGGTGGTGGTGGTGGGACTTGCGGTCGCTGCTGGTGTGGTGGAGGAACACTAATAGAATGTCTTGATGAAGTGACTGGTGGTTGTGGTGGAAAATGAAATGAAGTTGACTTTTGAATAAGCTCCTGTTGAGTTCCCGGTGGGACTGGTTGAGTATTTTGTGCTTCCAGATTGTTACTAGGAACACCATAAAGGTATTGAATTGGGTAGACAAAAGGTGCCTGAGGGTACGGTAAGTAACCTGGATAAATGGCTGCCTGATTGTACCCTTGTTGAAATGCCATTTGAGGATGTTGGGGATGAAACTGATAGGTCAGTTGCGACTGCTGCTGTGGCTGTCTTTGCTGTTGAGTTGCCTGTGAAAAATGAAAGTAAGTCAGGTGATCACCGAATGGACTTCCATTAGTTGGCCTACCAATGAATGATTTTGAGCAGACAGAGTGGCGTACTGGGCAAATGTGTTTGCATACGGTGAGCTGGTTTGCGGGGCCGCTGAAGCGACGGCAACTTGGGTAGTTGATACTGGCGCGGCGAGGGCGTTGCTCGTCGAGACGTACTGATGCAAGTGGTTGGCCGCTTCCTGGGCTGCATGTGCCTGGGCCTGGGCATACGATCCATAGCTGATTGATGCAATGGGAACAGAAGAACGATAACTAGTTAAACTGGTGAACTTAACTAAGAGGAGGTAGAGAGAACAATACCGATTTGGGTAGGGATTGACTGAGGCGGCGGCGGCGGCTGGCTTCCCCGTGGCCTGGGAAGCGGCCAGCGCTGCAGCTGTTGCAGCCGCCGCGGCCATCTGATGATTCTGCGACACTGCTGCACTTGCTCCTCCATTGATGAAGAAGTTCGTTTCATTACTTGACATTTTCTCAAATTATAAGATCTACAGAGATAGAGAAGACGTCGAAGATGAGTGTCAGTCTTGAGGATGATGTCAGAACAATGTCAACAAATGTTTTGAGGCAAAACAAACAAACCACTGTCCGCCTGCAGCCGTCATGTCACCACGCTGAAAGGTGGCCACTCCTCAAGAAATTCTGCGTTTTCTTCAGGTAAATCTTTGCTGTGAAGTGTTGACG